AACACCACAGTCACTCCTGAGCACATGTTGGTCATGTCTCGACTGAATATAGTTGATCAGGCTATATTCACCCTAGACATTGATTACATAACTGCCCAGGTTTAACCGCGATGTCCAACATCCAAATACTTTGTTTTGTTCTACTTACGACACGGATTCTGATACTCGGGTATAATCTTATATAAAAATACTTGTATTTTTTTAAAGTATACTTTTAGTTTAGAGCACTTAGGGCCCCTTAATATTTATGTGTATACCATGTAAGTTCGGTTTATACTTAGTTCGCTATAACAAGGGCTCTGATACCAATCTGTCACACCCCCAAACCGGAACGACGGAAACGTTCGGGGGTGGCTGAAGTCATCGTAGTATCACAACAATTGTATCATAGCAAGCCATCGTAAACACAACCAGACATTGAATACATATATGAAAAAGGTTTACATTGTTTAATACATAGTTTTGTTCATATCAAATGTAAAATAGTAAAGACGCGACTCTAATGCTCCGACTTCTCCGAACTCCTGGAAGTACCTGTCTATTAATTCCCTAAGAATACAAGCAGTTTTGAAGAATATCAGCATAAAGCTGGTGAGTTCATAAGCGTTAGTTTTTGTGGACAAAAATGTTCTTTGATCCTTTTGAAAAGTGTTCCTCAAGAAAATCCTACATTTTCTTATGAAAAGCATTTTTGAAAGCCCATTCCTTCCATGACTTCGAGATTCATACAAGATATGTACAATCCAAGGAGTCGTGGAATGAATATGAATATCTGTTGGTTGTAAAACAGTCCGTTTTGAATATTCGGTTTATCCCGGGAAAATCCTATATTTTCCCTAAAGGTTGATGGTTGATTATCCGTTTTAAACTGAGGTTTGCAAGTATCTACCATACTCGTGTTGATAAAAGCAATTTTCTTTTAAAAACCCTGGTTACACCCAGAGAGGTATATTAGCCTTAAAAACTAAATAAAAGAAAAACTGTGATGAACTAACTTCTAAAGATATTATTATTAATACCCTCCAGTAATTAAATCGGTTATTACTTTGAGGTTAGTTCACTTGATTCATTATTACAAAAGTAAATCTCTGCTACCTAGGTTTTGAGTTTCATGACCATAACTGACTGGATAAGGCCCGCAACGGCCGATATCCTTAATGACTTTGTCACCTGCAGACCTGCCGGTCCGACTGTAGCTAGCAGTGAGGTGCGGGATTGTCAGTCCCGTATCAATCTATACACAACAGTCACGCTCTCCCTACAAGAGACTCTGGTCACAAGTGCTAGTCCTACACCCTGATTCTGGGGAGTGTTACCAAGGACGTGTCTCAAACTTAGCCTAACAAATTTACAAGTAATAATACAGAAAATCCTATTTATGATTTGCCATGAATCCTTATAAAATAATACATTTTACTACATGATTCACAAGTTCATTGCTCTAGTTTTGAAAACTATTTCCACGTGTTGATTTCTTAATCGGTTGGTAAAACTGTTTTCGTCGGTTAAAAGCATACTGAAATATGATTATCTTAAACAAAGAATATATTGAGCACAAGTTTCCTTGTACTTTTGCTTGTATTCCCCCCCTGAAAACATGAAAAACTCGGAAAAAGCGTAGGGGTATGAACTCACCTTGGGTGATTTGAATGAAGGATCGACACGAAAAGTTTGGTGTTCAAGTGAAGTCTTGAACACGATTTGATCCTAATTAACATGCAATGATACATAAAGGAGTCAAATGAAGGTTATTTCACCACCAAATGTGATGGAGAAACCACTCTAGGAACTTGGGACTACTTGCACTAAGTGTTAGGACCTTAAAGGATTGCGTTAGGTGAGTGTATGGCCACCTTTAAGGTGGTGCGGCCATGGGTGTGCGGCCCAAGGGTGTGTGCGGCCGTACAGAGGGTGTGTGCGGCGTACACCGGGGTGTGCGGCCGTACACCCTTCAATGTGGCCCCAAGAGTCGATTTTTTCAGCGTTTTAAGGTTCAACCAGTCCAACTAGAAGATAGGGAATCAAACTCTCACTTTGGAGGTTCTTTGAGGTGTGACAACCACCTTATGAGGTGTGCGGCCGTACACCTTCACGTGATGAAGAACATGATGAACTTTGCGTTAAGGGCTTAGATCAATGGGTCCTTCATGTATGATAAACTAGGTGATGGAAAACTCACGTTTTTGAGGCCTTGAGAGCGTTCTTGGATGAAGTTTTAGAGAGAGAGAAAGTGAGTGTAGCCAAATGAAAGGAATGAGTGAAGGGGTCACCCTATATAAATAGGGATGAGTGTGCGGCTGGAGGATGGGTGTGCGGCCCACCACACTCGTGGTGTGCGACCATACAGTCGGGTGTGCGGCCACACACTCATGTGTGCGGCCATACACTCGGGGTGCGGCCACACACTCATGTGTGTGGCCACACACTCCTTTTGATGGAGGGTTTGGCCTATTTGCAACCCTAAATCTTAAACCAACCCATCCCTAATTCAAACTTTGGTTGTACAAGGCTTTAGATCATCTAACAGGCTCAAAACGATGCTAAAGACGCTGAAACGAGTTTAGCATTGATAGAATTGGCTAAGTGTACAAGATAAAAGTTTCGGGTTGTCACATACATACATATATATATATATATATATATATATATATATATATATATATATATAGGGCTAGATTATTTTGTTTTTTTACATTTATTGTGTTCTAATATGCACCAATAGTAATTTATTAAATTAAATAATTATTTAATTAAATAAATATAGATATTAAATGATTTCCATAATTATATGTATATTAAAGATATCCATAATTATAATTCTTTTTATGGAAACTAGTAAATCTGTCATTAAGGTCAGCAATAACATTCTTTCAGAATGAATTCGCATCTAGGTGTTTATATATGAGTTCGTATTTTGTTTTATGACTCACTCACTTAAAATATAATAAATTTGCATTGTATATGAAGAACGAGAGTGTATTCTACTAGAATACACTCTCATTCTGCTGGAATAAACTGTCATTCTTCTAGATCTGAATTTCATCTGCAAGACTATTATTGTTGACATTAATGACGAATTTTAATTAGTTTCTATAAAAATGACGTTATAAGTATGGATAACATTTAATATAATATAATGACTTACTAAATTTCTATTGGTGCATTCTAGCACACAAGAGATGTGACAAACATTTGAACCTACTACCGATATAGATATATATAGATAATATATATATATATCCATATATATATATATTATATATATATATATATATATATATTATATATATTATATAATATAGAAGGGAACTTGAGAGGCAAAGTAGGGAACTTGAGAGGCAAAGTAGGGAAGCAAGCAATGTTGGAAGACTGGATTACTACTGTTACCCCTCTCAGAAATGAGGAATCGTCATATAAAGTTTCATTTGAATGCGAAGAAGATACGGAAGTGCCACAAGCATTTATTATCCAAAATCATCACCACAGTGAATTTTACCTTAAAACACTTACACTTGAAGATGTTCCTGGCCATGGACATGTTCATTTTGTGTGTAACTCGTGGGTTTACCCTACTAAACGCTACAAAAAGGATCGCATTTTCTTCCATAATAAGGTAGATCGACTGTCAACATTCATTTATATTTTTCAAAATATGTTTGTTTAACGTTATTATGACTTTATTTGACACTGCAGGCATATCTTCCTTTCGAGACACCTGAATTTCTACGTTCATACAGAGAAGAAGAGTTGGAAATCTTGCGAGGGGATGGAACTGGGATGCTTCAAGAATGGGATAGAGTCTATGATTATGCTTTCTATAACGACTTGGGAAATCCCGATAAGGACCTTGATGATGCACGCCCAGTTCTTGGAGGACCTTCAGAGTACCCATATCCTCGTAGGGGTAGAACAGGAAGACCACCTACCAAATCAGGTCCGAACATATATATGCTATAGATACGTTAAAGTTAAATACATGTTTTGTTATCTAATTAAAATATTTTCATCAATTCATGTAATAGATCCTAGAACTGAGAGCAGGCTTCCTCTAGTTATGAGCTTAAACATATATGTTCCAAGAGATGAACGATTTGGACGCATAAAGTTTTCTGATTTTCTTGCTTATGCTCTAAAAGTTGTCATCCAGCTTCTTGTTCCCGAGTTTCAAGCTTTATGTGACAACACCCATGCTGAATTCAACTCTTTTGAAGATTTCTTCAAGCTTTACGAAGGAGGATTCAAGCTTCCTGAAGGCCCTTTACTTAAACGAATTCGAGAAAACATTCCATTGGAAATGCAGAAAATACTTCTTGAAAGAGATAATGATGAACTTGCCAAATCTCCTATACCACAAGTCATCAAAGGTACCCCATTCTAAATATCTCGAATCAGTAAAACGTTGCAACATCTCACTTGACACATGACATAAAAATTCTTTATTCTTCTCAATATATTTTTAATGAATGTTACTAAGCAAATAAATAAATATGAATGATTTGTTTCTAGAGGACAAGTCTGCTTGGACAACGGATGAAGAGTTCGGAAGAGAAATGCTTGCTGGAGTCAACCCTATTAAAATCTGTCTTTTAAAAGTAATATTTGTCTTCTAATTAAAAGCATGTGGTCCTTTGGACTTTTTTTTTTTTTTTTTTTTTTTTTTTTTTTGGATATCCTACAAACCACATTAGGACTTATGTTAATAATCATTCCCATTTTTCAGGAATTCCCTCCAACAAGCAAGCTGGATATGGAAGTTTATGGCAATCAAGATAGTTCGATAAAACCACACCACATCCAGAAAAACCTAAATGGTTTACAAGTAAACGAGGTACGATATCATTCCTAAATAAAATGTAATAATAATGAAACTGTCACCAAGCATAAAAATATCATCTTTGTGCTACACAGGCTTTAAAAGCAAATAGGTTGTTCATACTGGATCATCATGACTCATTGATGCCATACGTGAGGCGAATAAACGCAACTACAAACAAGATTTATGCCTCACGAACTTTGCTCCTGCTACAAAATGATGGAACTTTAAAACCATTAGCAATCGAGTTAAGCTTACCCCATCCTGATGGAGATAAGCATGGTGCCATTAGCAATGTATACACACCAGCTGAAAATGGAATAGAAGGCTCGGTTTGGCAGTTAGCAAAAGCATATGTGGCAGTTAACGATTCAGGAATACATCAACTTATCAGCCACTGGTACATTAACCAAAACTCAGAAGGAACACTTTCAGATAGACTATTGCTTATATATTTTAACTGTATCCATATGATTATACTTCACAGGTTGAATACACATGCTGTTATTGAGCCATTTGTGATTGCTGCAAATAGGCAACTAAGCGTAATGCACCCGGTTTATAAGCTTCTTTACCCTCATTTCCGCTATACGATGTATATAAACGCCTTATCTAGGCAAATCTTGATCAATGGGGGAGGTGTCCCCGAGTCTACAGTATTTCCTGGAAAATATTCTATGGAAATGTCTTCCATGTTGTATAAGGATTGGGTTTTCCCTGAACAAGCACTCCCAGTAGATCTTCTCAAGAGGTAACTATTTGAGAATAAATCATTCAAGATACGAAATACGATAAGATGTTTGATTAATTATTAGCAAATTTTATCACATAGGGGAATAGATTAATTATTATATAAACTTGATTATTAGCAAATTTTATAACATAGGGGAATGGCGGTTGTGGACTCGGGTTGTCTACATGGACTTCGCCTACTAATCGATGATTATCCATATGCGGTTGATGGACTTGAGATTTGGTCAGCTATCAAATCTTGGGTTGAGGATTACTGTAAATTCTACTACAAGAACAATGATATAATTCAAAACGACACAGAACTACAATCAAGGTGGAAGGAACTACGAGAAGAGGGACATGGTGACAAGAAACACGAGCCATGGTGGCCTAAAATGGAGACTTGTCATGACTTGATAGATGTTTGCACTACATTCATATGGGTGGCTTCGGCTCTTCATGCATCTGTAAATTTTGGGCAATACCCTTATACTGGTTATCTGCCTAATCGTCCAACTCTAAGTCGTAGGTTTATGCCTAAACCAAATACTCCCGAGTATGAAGAACTTAGAGAGAATCCTGAAAAAGTTTTCTTCAAAACCATTACTCCCCACCTACAATCACTTCTTGGGATAGCGCTCGTAGAGCTATTGTCAAGGCATTCGTCGGATGAGGTTTACCTCGGACAACCAGAGTGTCCTGAGTGGACACTGGATGGAGAACCTTTGAGGGCATTCGAGAAATTTGGGAAGAAGATAAAAGAGATTGAGGAAAAGATAGTGAAAATGAACAACGACAAAAGATTGAAGAATAGGGTTGGACCGGTGAATGTACCATTTACCCTACTATACCCGACTAGCGAAGAGGGACTAACGGGTAAGGGGATCCCTAATAGTACGTCAATATGAAATGAATTGACCAATGTGTTGCCATAATTTGCTTATATTACAAACGAAAAATTGGACCCTTGTGACTAAGAGAGTTCCTTTTACTTGGTTGGCACTATCTAATTCCTATTGTTTGTTTATATGAACTATATATGTGTGCATTTTTCATGAATAATTAATGTGATAACCGTATTATTATATATTTATATATTTTCGTATTGTTTGTTACTCATAGATGATTTTCGATTTTCATTGTTAGGATTGTTTTGATAGTTAATCGAGATGGTATATGGTAATCCAGGAAGTTGAAAGCTTAAATCAATACATTAAAGGGAATATATTTTTGTATATTCTCAAAATTAACCCTAAATATGAGGAAAGGAAAACAATACACTCCAACAAGAAGAATATGATGTATAACCATAAGTAATATAACTCCTACAACTGCTATTTGACCAATACCCCTTACAACTATGCCATTTATATCAAGAACACATATCACTACCCATTTGCGATGGATTAGCAACAACTATACTCCATAGCTAAATAAAGTGTGGCTAATGACTTGGCGAGGGTTTTAGTGACGGATCAATTTTTCCTAGCGATAAACATAGCGATGGAGTATCCATCGCAAAATGGTCCTTTAATACAATTATTTAGGACATTGGCGACAAATTTGATAACAATTTTCAATCGATGTTTTGTCGCAATCTTCATATCTTTTTTTTTAATATCCGTCTCTAATCCCTAGCAAATCTCATACATTATTTTTATTTTTTCGGTAGCTAATCCCTAGCAAACATCATAAATGATTTTTTTTTTTATTTTCCATTGCAGATCCCTAGCAAACTTCAAATATGATTTTTTTCGGTCGCTAATCCCTCGCAAACATATAAAATCAGATTTTATTATTATTTTTATTTTTATTATGAATCTAAAAAAAGATATAAAAAAACATCAACTAATAATACAATCCCAAGTCATTTAACATTTAAAGAACACTAATAATCAAAAAAATACTATTAAACCCAAAACCAAACATTAACATTACAATGCCAAAAACTATCAAATCATCCAAAAACATAGATATTAATGTTTACTAAATCGTCCAAAAACATCAAATACTAAAAATTTACAAAAGCATCCAAAAAGATCATATTTTCTTCATGCATTTGTTGATGTTTGGCTTCCATTTCTTGCAACTTTAGCGTCCATCTACCCACACATCTCTTCTCGTATACGTTCATACACAGCCTGCAGTTAAAACATGGATATAAGATGTTATAATATGGTATTTTTGTAAGTATAATGCCATAGTAGGAAAATTTTATAAAGTACAATATTATGATAGGAAAATTTACAATATGGTAGATTTTGTAAGTACAAGGTCATAATAGGAAAATTTTATAAAATACAATGTAATGATAGGATACTATAATGGACAAAATTAAATGAACCTCTTAGGATGTTATTGTACTAGCTCTTCTCTTCAAAAAGCTCATTGGATCAGACACATATGCAGATCCTAATATTCTTCCTTTCTTGAAAAGCAATGTACTTTTTAGACAAAAGATAAAAAAAAAGAATAAAATTATGGGATGACATCCACATTAGATTATTGTACTTTCAAATATAAGATAATAATAAGAGAACTAGAACAACTACACCATACTTACTGTACTTTCTATTCAATTATCATGCATATAAAATTTGAATAATTCAGTTTTTACATATAATATAAAAATTCCAATAAACTAACTAATTAAATTAAAGAATGAATGTATTTTCTGACATATATTGGCAGTGGTTAAAGGACCTGAAAATCATGCTCTCATGGTTCACTTAAAAAATAGAAAGATGAATGAATATAAAAATTAAACTAGGACAATGAAGTATCCAAAACTTTTTGACTCTAGAATTGGAAATACCTTAACTTTAACTGCATTTAGTTTAATGTACCCTTGAGTAGACTTTTTATTATGCAACATTCCATAAAGTCTGATGCAAAAAAAAAATCATACATATATTGAGAATTATATTTTCATGGTTCAAATACAGGTCTGATGTAGAAGATGAAAACTCAGGAAAATAAAGATAAAGGTATTGTAGAAAGAAGAAAATAGAAGAGAACAGAGGTTTGACAATTACTTCTCTATCGAACTCTAGCTAAATTAGGACCTGCAAAATCCTTATGAATGAACCATGAAATATGTTAAATTAAAGAAATATGTTAAATTAAATATGAACCACCACAAACATAATTTAAGGCATATAAAACATAAAAACAAAAGTTATGTTATAATGCAAAACTATGTAAACATTAAAAATAGCACCTCCAAAACTAACTATCATAATCAAAATATGCCAACAACCTCCTAAGACAAGAAAATGCCTGAAAAATAAACTCAATCTCTTCCAAAATTATTTAGATGAAATGGAATGATTTGTCTACCAACTTGGTTGGAATAATAACTATAGGTTAGGACATAAAGTTGTTTTGTTTTTCTATTACATGAAACAAATCTTCTTCTACATAAACAGATACAGTGAACTACATGAACTTCATGAAAAACTAGCTGATAAAATATTTTTTTTGATAAATTGCAGATAGATTTGGCTCAATAACATATAAAATGTTATAAATAAAGTTTTTTCTAAGCTAATCAGCTCAATGGTGAAGGCTTAGTTGGTTTGGCATGCATTAGAAAGTGCAGTCATGGTAATCTCAACGACACCCATAACCATGTATATTATGTGGTTATTTTAGTTTCAAGTTGGAAGATATGGTAATCCATTCTTACTCAACTCATTAGACACCTAATTTATCACCTAGTGACATGAAATTATGTGATTATCATCTACAATTATGAAAACGATAGATTCTACTTAAAGCAAACATCCTAAGATGAGTTTTCCATGGCTATTTCCATTTTCCAATGATGAGCGTATTTATGTAATTTTGACAATCTTGTAGCATTTTGCTGCTTTTTGGAATCAACAACCATTAGCTGCAAGGGACTATGCATCGAGTACAATTATTCCAACATCCAAAGTTGTGATTGATATATCAAACGCTACAAAGGATTTGATTAATCAAGAAGTGTCTCCTAAGACTGAGACTTAGGAACATATGTTTTTGAGTGGAATCATACTTTTTTTTGTCCAGAAGAAGCTTTTGTGTTTCCAGGATGATGATAGATCTTAGAAACCTAAATTTGGCTTAAAATTGGCAAACCTTAAAAGAATAGAATCTTCAACTCCATTCCAACGAATAAAAATGGAATCCATAAACAATTTACCTTCTGTACACTTTGATATTCTTATATATGTTGTGTATATAAGGAAGGAAATGCCAGCCAACACAATATCTACTTTAGACCCCAGACTTGTAACGTCCGTGTTTCTACGATAGGCATTAATGATGATGTAATATTCTAGGTCAACATTTGTAACTCATTTTGAAGAAATAAAGAGGAATTATGTGTTTTATGCTTAATTATTAGGATTTAATTAATTAAGAATAAAAAATAAGCGTCGAAAATAAATATTAGATAAAGCCGATATCTATTAAGAAAGTTGCAGTGGTTGAAATAAGGATTTCGAAGATATAAAGAATACCGAAATCCGAGTTATAACGAAGAAGTTATGACCTGTCGAAGTTTCACGACAAAACCGACACGACGCCGAATGACGTAAAAAATGAGTTTTTGATAAACTACTTTTTAGCCTTGGTGATCTAAATGAAAGTGTAGTGTTCGGTAAACCGAGAGCATGCATAAAAAGAACGCCCAAATCTGACTTTGTATGACAAAGTTATGATTTTTCTAAGTTTCAGCTTAGCAGTAGAAAGCTAAAAACTCGAATTTTAGATCGAGTGATTTTTAGCCGACACAACTTAAACGAGAATCGAAGGTCTCGTCAATATTAGTGAAACGGTAAAAAGACAGACGAAAACGGACATCGGATGAAGAAGTTATGAATTTTTAACGGATTTTCCTATCCCGGTCTGTTAAAAATATAATACTAAAATTAAAGTCAAAATTAGTCGACGGAGTCTAAACGAAAGTTGTAGAGCATAATTTTACCTACACGTGCATATAAATAACGTCAAAAACGGAGCCCGTATGCGAAAGTTATGGATTTTAGAAGTTCGGGACACAAATATCGAGAAAACACGAAATCCGAGAAATTTCGCATGGTCCGGAATAGGCCATGTCACCCACTCCTCGCATGCGTGCCCCGTGTCGGATTGTGATACGACCGAAGGGAGGCCCAACCGAAGCATGCCGCGTTTCCGATGCTGCTGAGTCATCCGAGGCCAGCTGTCCGACCCGTGTCGCACCCCCTCGCACCGAAGGCTCGGTCCAATCCAAGCGTGCCACCTGCCCTCTCCGTGTCCAACTGCGAACCGAACCACCACCTGGCAGCCTCGCATGCGAGGCACGTGCTTGCTTACCCTTGCTTCGGATCCGAGGCACTTCCCTATAAATAGTGACTGCGAGATCTCCCGGATAATTTTAGGAAATTGCCACTTTTAACCCCTAAATCCATATTTTAGCTATTCCACTTCCCCCGAAGCCCCGGTATTATTTTCAACACCCGAAACACGTCCCAAAGAGCCCGAAGAGCTCGAGAAATTTATCTTTTCGGTTTTGAAGCCCAACCCTCACAGAGCCTGGTTTTTCATTAAAGCTCCCGGTTTTATCAGAAACGATTGTTTTTGGAAACGAAGTGCTGCCCGATTATCGTTAAATCAAGTGAGTGTATAGTCATTTTCATCTTACACATAGATATAAAGTATTTTATATAAAATACGTGCTATGTGAATATATATTGTTTGTTTATTTGAGATTGATGTTGAATGAATGATTTATACAGGTTTTTAAATAATTCAAACTGTATATGTAATTTACATCTAGAAAAATGTTGGGTAAAACATGGGTAGATGAAATAGTTGGTATGTGATGAAAGATGAGTTGGATAAATGAGATGATCGGTGATATAGATAATGAGATGAGGGTGAGCGGTAATATATGCGAGAAGCACTTACCCAAACGTTGGCCCCCGTCATTCAACAGAGTATGAATGAAAACCATGGAGTCTTCTAGACGGTCCATGGAACACTAGCAGGCTCGCAACCTGTAAGTGTGTGAACTATATATTCATCAGTTGTACTCAAAAAATCCATTGACATGTAACGCAGGTGGATTCCCGTGAATAATACTGTTGATAAATGAGAGCTATGGACTTAGCACATGTTGTATAAACCTTGGCAGCTATGGACTTAGTGCATGTCGTATAAACCCTGGCGACGATGTGACTTCATGCCTATTTGACATAAATTGTTGAGGACAAGCAGTGTTGTCACCCCGATGTTTGCCTTATTTGACATAAATTGCTGAGGAAAGCAGTGTTGTCACCCCATTGGTTGCCTTATTTGACATAAATTGCTGAGGAAAGAAGTGTTGTCACCCTGATGGTTACCTTATTTGACATAAATTGCTGAGGAACCCCCGAAGCAATGTTGTCACCCTGATGAAAATCCTTAGGCTAGGTCCCTTGTGATAGTTGTTTAGGGACGTAAAGTGAGGATAACGGGAATAGGTAATCAGAGTTATTTTTGGTTGATGAAATTAATAAATTTATCGTTGAATGATGAAATTAATAAATTTATTATTTGTGGGTTGAAAACCCTATATGCTCACCAGGCTCCTAAGCCCGACCCACTCAGTTTCATGTATTATAGGTAGTGGCAAGAGCATAGTTGGATAACGTAACGAGAGATTTTGGATTATAGGCCAATATATGTAAATAAATGTTGTAAGGGTTATAATATACTGTTTATGCTTTTGATCGGTATCGGAACATGACATCCCGAGGTTTTGTTATGAAATGGAAAATATATTTCTTTATGAAATTTTTTGATAAATTTTTATTATATTTGTTTTGGGAACAAATTCCGCAACATCTTTTGGAAAATTACTTTGATTTTATTTTAAAAGCATAAACTAAATCGGTCTTTTTTGGCCGAGAAATTTGGGGATGTCACAGTTGGTATCAGAGCTTTAGTTTAAGCGAACTAAGAATTTGTAGGATTTCTAGACTTAAACTTAGAATGCTAAGTGATATTCGTGAGATGAGTGTCTACCATATTTTAGACACGAGCACTAGTTTATTTTAGGAAAGATGCCTAGAATGCTTTTATGTGCTAAATGCTATATGTTTGCCATATATGCCATTATTTGTTCGGATCTATGGTCTGTTGCCGACCGGATCTGGAAACCTTATGTGTTTAGGATTCTAAGCGTATGACTAAGATATTAGAACTAGCATGTAACGTTTCGGAGTGATAAGGAGAATTTAAATATCTATCGTGGATAAAGGTTTAAATTCACCTAATTTGGCGTATAGATCATAATGTCAAGAACCCGAAGTGGAGCTGGAAATGCAAATAGAAATCAACAACCTCTACCCCAAGTGATTGAGCAGGTGTCTGTGGTAGAAGTTGCACTAGAGCCAGTCACAATGGTTGGGGTACAAGCCATGATTCAGACAATGATGGCTAAACAAAGGGAGGAAATGAGGCAAATATTGCTGAACAACAAGAATGAACCTTCAATGTCTGTTGAGCAACCTGAACTCAATGATGATCAGTCTGAGGAAGGAAATTATAGTAGATATGTTGATCAAACTGAACCGCTTGTGGTTAGAAGGAATAACAACGATGATGGAGTGGAGAGAAATGGATGCAAGTATAAAGACTTTATGACTTGCAAGCCATCAACTTTCACTGGAAAATAAGATCCCGTCGGAGTAATGGATTGGATCTTGGAAATGGAATTGGCTTTCATGACATGTGGTTGTCAAGGCAAGTTACAAACCATATTTGCGGTGCGTCAGTTCAGAGGTGGCGCTGTTCGCTGGTGGAACACTTTAGGGAAGACTATAAGCCCTAATAAGCCACTACAACTGACTTGGGCAGAGTTCTTGGTGCAATTCAAGCGTAAGTACTGCTCGGCCTAAAATGTGCTTGAGCTAGAAAACCAATTTCTGACACTGAAGAAGGGAAGTATGACCATTGATGAATACACCAATAACTTCACAGACAAAAAGGAGTTTGCTTTGCGTATTGTCCCAGATGAGCTGACAAAAATAGACAGGTACGCAAAGGGACTTCCATGGGAGTATGCAGTGCCAGTACGTCAAGCACTTACTTTGGAGGCAGCTATCTCGGCTGCCAAGTCTGTTGAAGATATGATTAAGGGAAGAGCCGCTAACAAGATTGAAGTTGACGAGAAAAGAAAGTTTGAAGGAACTTCAGGGTCCAACGAGAAAATAAAATTCTCGAAGTCTGGAGGAGGAGGAGGCGAAGCAAGATGGTGTGATAAGTGCAAGAAGAAACATGTTGGGAAATTTGGCGAGGAGGTCACTTGTTTTAAATGTGGAAAGCCAGGGCACTACGCCAACGAGTGTTCGTCCAACAAGAGTATGTGATATGGATGTAACGAGGAAGGGCACATTTTGAAAGACTGCCCAAAGAAGAAAGAGGCAGCAAGGCCCAATGTTTCACCAAAACCAGAACCAAGGGCATTCTAATTGATCCTTGATGAAGCATATGGAAATACAAGGGATCAGGAGTAAG